ATCTACATCTGCATAGAAACAAAGCGATTTGGTCTTTGGAAGAGGATATTTGCTCTTACAAAGATATTTCCTCCTTCAAAGAGGAAGAGTCCTTCCCAAGCACCTTCCCAAGGTGCTTTGAGTAGCTTACTACATGTATTTAAAGTAGTGCCTGTCTCAATGGCTTGAAGGGAGGAGAGGACTGGCTAGCATAAGCTACTGTGCATTGCATGCAATAGGATTTTGCACAGTTACATTTGCATGTAGTGCCTCAGCCTTTCATTTTTCGTATGCTGAAGATGCCTCCTACCCAGCAAGAAGACTTATCTGTATCCCACGCAGCCCAGCTAGCCGGTTTTGCTGAACTGCAGCAATCATGGGTCTGCTCTATTGCAGGACTGACTATTCAGGGACTGATTTCAAATAGTAGAACTTGGGTAAAAGGTTTTTTTAGAAAAGTTTGGAAGAAGATTGAAGTTCATGGTGTGCTGTTGCTGATATAGCTGTCTAATTGTGCTCCGATTTGAGACAAATAACTCACAAAAGGTCTGTCCCGTGGACAGGGAAAGCCTTCAGGTATGCAAGAGGGAAAAGGGATTTTTTTTTTGCTAGTGCTAGCATGAAAACATTTCCATCTGATCAAATTTATGGCAAGAAAAAGACATTAAAGCAAAGGTAGCATTAGTGGGGAAGGAGTTAGGTATTAAATTATAAAAGGATGTTCTGTGTGGGTAATCTTTACTATAGCAGAGTATAGTCACCCAGTTAAATCCACCCTGTGCATTGGCATACTGCAAGTTTTTTAAAGATGGTCTAAGGCAGCTGCAGCCAATTGTGTTTGCACAGATAAGCTGGAACAAATAGCTAAGCTCAGAAAATCTGGAGAGATTTATCTTCAAAGAATTTTCCGGCAGCTAATTGAAAATTATCCAGGCCATCTTCCTGGTTTCTTGCCTATTATTGCATTAATTTGCTAGTGAGTGCAAAGTGCTTGGAAAACATACAAAGGATTTTGTGAGTGCTAAGCTTTCCTATTTGCAATTTATTTAATTATAAATGTGGCCTTGTGCATGTGATATCTTAAAGCCAGCTTCCAGCGCTCTCTCGGATGATACAGACTCCTGTTGGAGTGATCGTGTATAAACACGTCCAAACGTGAGGATTGGGTCAGGGTACTGCTCTTTTCTTCCATTCCTAGAAGCCTTCTTACCCGAAGAAGGTGGAACATGGATCTGGGCAGGGGAATTGTTCCCGGGATGCTCTTTGGATGTGCTCCTCATCAGCCTTTACAGACCTCTGCAGACCGAGGGTGGGCAGCATAAGGCGGGCAGTTGTTGCAGAGGTTTTCCCTGCCAGAGAAATGGTTTACAGTGTTGCACGAGCAGAGAACAGCCTGATTTACTCTTTTATCTCCCTTTTAGCTCAATCAGCACCCTGAGGAGCAGCCCTGTTTGCAGAGCCCTGGTGGGGATTTGTCCCACTTGTGGGAGGCTTTCCTGTTACTAAGCCCGGGAGGGAATTGCACTTTATCCATATGGTGCCTATCATCTGCGACAGGGGTAATGCAGCTAATCCTCATAACTCAAGTTACCCAAGAAAAAAAGGATCAATATATGTCACTAGGGAAAGGGAAGTGCCAGCCCAGATGAATTTGTCCCTTCTGTGAGCAACAGATGAGCCTGAAACTCAGACTTGCACTTTTTCCATAGCCAGAGTGTCCATGTCGCAAGATCGGGATGGCTCCTGTGCCAGGGGAGAGGAACTGAGACAGCCCTGGGCCCCCTGTGCTGTCCCCAGGCACTTGGTTCCACATCCTCCGATCTAGCTGGGAAAAGTGGGATTTAAATGTGGAGTATGGGAGGTACTGGGAGCGGATGGGGATGCTCATCCTGAAGCCCTGTAGCAAATAGCTCCTCACATACCTGGGAACTGAGACCTGGCCAAGTCGGTCCACGTACCGTAAAAGATGCTCAGCCATGGAAAGCAGAAGTTAGGAGGGGATGTTGCTTGCCATAGTAATACCCTATAAAAGTCAAAAAGCATCATGTAAAAGGGAAGATCGGCTATTACTAGGCACACTTCAGCAAATGGGATTATTTTACATGTCAGTTATGAGCTATTCATAGCATTGATCTAATCGCAGTCCCCGGCAGAGGCGCGAAATATTTTTAATTGGTCCTGCGACTTTCAAAATGATCATCTGATGGAAAGCTTGTAAGTTTTACTATTGATTTAATGTTTAATATTAGGGGAGTTGAATCTTTACATGTTTCGTAATGAAATACAAATCAAATGCTTTCATTGCCTGGCTACTTTCCTCGTTTTGACTTGCTAATGTTGATAGTCTGGAACCAGCTGTACATCTTTAAAAATTCAGATAAAATCATACTGTAAAATGAATAAATCTGTAGCTTGAAGATAATAGCATTGGGAATGGTTCAAAGTAAGCAAGAAATCACCAGCTGAGTCAGTAAAAATAGACATAAATTATAAGTAATAAATGTATAACTGAGATGAGTAAGAGTGATTTGCATTAAGGACTTTTTTTTTTTGCTCAGGATTATGTTTTGTCCTCTAAAGTGGCATATGGCTCACACGAAAACTAATATCCTTAGTGAGTGTCAGTTACAGTTCAGAAATGCTCTGAGAGATAAAAAGCAGCTTGATGGACATTAATGTGTAGCAAACTGGCTTCCTTCATGGAACACATGGATACAAATTGTTAGCGCTGGAGAAGGGCAAGGAGTGAATTTTAGGGGCAGAAAAAGAGACTTCTGTGTGTGGAGGGGGGAACATCTGCTGCTTCGAGGGAAGATGTGTTGCTTTTGTGGGAACACTGTTTTCCCCTGCGTTTCTCTTACTGGATTGGAAGGGGAGGACGATGCAGGCGCTGGGATCTGGGTGCACAGACTCCTACTGCTCAAGATAGAGAAAACTTTAACAAATGTACCCATCTGGTTTGAGAGGGCTGCAGCACTCTTATTTACTGCTTCCAATATTGCATCCAAAGCTAAGAAGATAGATTTAGAGCTGTAAGAGTCATAAAGATATTGGAGGGAAGAAAAGAGTTTAAAATTATAGCCCTTCATCTAAGACGATATATTTTTTACGACAGCACATTACAAAAATACGTCTCTGCAGCTAAATTTCAAAGCTTGCACTTAGCTTCTGCATTTACACATGTTAACAGTAGCCTAGAGATTTTTATACTGGCAGCATCTAAAGAAAATAGCTTTTAACACAGTAAACGTTTCTTAGGAACTCTAAATGTGCTTCTGGGTTATCCTACATTGATGACAGCCAGCAAAATTAGAAGTCATTCAGCCTGTGGATCTGCAAAGTACCCTGCAAAGTAAAAAATACCCCTTTAAAGTTGTATGCTTGCATATTTGGTATCTCCTCTGCTCTTCCCTGGTGGGAATAGGACCTTAATGCTCTTCAAAGCATCTAATGCTGACAAGTCCCTGCCTCAGTGGCAAGAACCACCAGCACCAAAACCAACGGGCACTACTGCTGGTTCACAATCAATACACTTTTCCAGCAGCTCACAAGCATATTAACTTCCTTGCCAAAGGCTGCAATTTTCCCAGATTACAGTGATCAAAACATGGCCTGTTTTATTGGGAAAACAAATGACCATCTTCCCCGTTCTCCATTTGGGAGGCTGATTGCAATCTAAAGAGAAGCGTTTTTTTATAGGAACCTCTTGAACAACTATTGGCAGCTCCTTGCCAGCTCCTAGTGATTACAAAACTCAGGACACTTCAAAGGCATTCTGCAATCAATATTTTTGTCTAGCATTTGTTGCATATTTAAGATCATTATTGAAGGGAGAACTTTAGTATTTTCATAAATTATTGTTCACATTCTCACTTAACCAAAAATATACCCCTTTTAGGTGGCAGTGGTTGAATGCTGAGGTGCTAAGACAGGAACCAGTTGCAAGAGGCCATGCTCGATCCATAATCAGTTTGGAGTCAGGTGCCTGTGCCCTCCGGCTTGCTCTCCAGTGGCATGTACAGTCTAATTAGTTATAGGAAGGATTCTAGTGAAGAGTTGTAAACAGATCTAGTGGCCTGAAATAAAATCAATCTGACTGTGGAAAGTTTTGGGGATAATTATAAGCCGCTATTAGCATAATACAAAGGAGAGACCTAAGGACTTTTAACAGTAGGAAACTTTTTGCTTTCTGCATAGTTTGCGCAGCAGAAAGGAAAGGTAAAAAGGCTGTGCTTGGCCAAGCAAGGGTCAAGTGTCAAACCAGAATTGCTTTGAACTAAAATGAACCTAAAAAAAAGGATAAGTGGCTTCAATGGGTATTGAGAATGTCTTTGATGGATTTTTTCTATGTCTTTTTTTTATGCTTACGTGTTTTTTTCTGTGATTGAAGGTACCCCAGTAACTGAGGTACCAAAACACTCATCACGAAGTGGAAATGCATGGCTGAAATGCTGCTGTATTTAAGAAAAAGTACTCTACAAATGAACAATACTTAGGAGGCTTTGGTGCAGTTTCCTATAAAATCAAAGCTCTGCCAAGCAGATGTTTCTATTTAAAAACCCGTTAGCACTGAAAGCTGGGATTAACGTGATCTAATTTTAGGCATTTTGAGGTGTGCAGCTTCATTTAGACATCCAGCCTCACCCTGGAGCCAGCGAAGACACACAAGCACATGGTTCCTTCCAGATGTCCCCATCTCTCCTCTCATGCTTGGGTGGTCTCAAGACTATGCAAAACCAGACCCCGTGGATGTGTCCAAGGGTCTTTCCGAGGACAGCAGCGCTGGCTTTTGGTCTTGGTCATGGTGCTCCCCATGCCAGTTTGGTTAATGACATCTCCTCTTCTCTTTGCAGGATGAAACATTCCTGGTTGCCGTCTTCCTGCTGACTGCACTTCCGGGCCGCCACATCCTTGCTACATCCTGGCAAGCAATCCCAAGTAATCCTGAGCAAGTCTGAGCAATACCCTGGTAGCCCAGCAGAACCCAAAACACTTCTCGGCTCTGGTCCCCATTCATGGAAATGCCGCACAATTTGACCAGCGAGAATGGCTTCCCTTTTGCTCAGACACTCGTGTTCCCCAGCGTGTCTGTGCCGCTTGAGAACAGCTTGGGATTCGATACGCCGAGCCCCACGGAGACTCAGGACACCCCGCTGAGCAATGGCACCGTGTACTCCGGCGCCAGCAGCCCGTCGGACTCGTGCATGAAGCCTCTGTGCCATGGCGGCCCGGAGGAGCGCGCGCCCTACGGCGAAGAGATCAAGTACGTGTCCGCGGAGGAGGAGGAGGAACTGGCGTGCGGCTGGGGTGCCTTCACGCCCGGCTGCCTGCAACTCTTCAATACGCCCAAGGGCATCCTCTTCTTCCTCTGCGTGGCCTCCTTCCTGCAAGGCATGACGGTGAACGGCTTCATCAACACGGTGGTCACGTCCATTGAGCGGCGCTTCGACCTCCGCAGCTACCAGAGCGGGCTCATCGCCAGCTCCTACGACATCGCGGCCTGCGTCTGCCTCACCTTCGTCAGCTACTTCGGCGGCAATGGCCACAAGCCGCGCTGGCTGGGCTGGGGCGTGCTGGTCATGGGCCTGGGCTCCCTGCTCTTCGCCTTGCCCCACTTCACCACAGGCCGCTACACGGTGCGGTTTTCCGAGGACATGGGCACCTGCGCCGCCAACCGCAGCCAGGCCTGCGCCCAGGCCGCCTCCAGCCTCGCCAGCTACCGCTTCGTCTTCATGCTGGGCCAGTTCCTCCATGGCGTTGGTGCCACCCCGCTCTACACGCTCGGCGTCACCTACCTCGACGAAAATGTCAAGACTAACTACTCCCCCGTGTACATTGGTGAGCGGAGGGACGCCCGGGCCATCGGGGCTGCCACCCAATAGAGCATAGGGAGATTTCACAAGAGATGCTCTGATCTTTTGTTCTAAATAACAGCCAGGATGAAAATCAGTGAGAAGCAGCAGCTGCTCGGATTTGATTATTTTTCTCCCCAGCTTCCAGCTATTTACAGGCAGGAATGATTTTAATGAGTGCTGAAACCTCCCTGCTGAATCGCCCTGCAGAGCTGGAGGGGCCTCCACCGCAGTGCAGGTGTCGGCAGAGGAGAGCCCTCAAGCACGAGCAAATCTAAGCATTATATTCACTTCTCTGTCCTGCAGGAGGGTCACGACAGCCTGATGGCCTGGGGTTGTTCTCCTGTTTGTGCCACAGGACACTGCTGGAGTGTAAAGAATAGTGAAGCTTTACCAAAAAATAAGCTTTAGTTCCTCCAGTTCTGCATTGCTGATCATTTAATGATTGGCAAGTATTTACAGCACACTTGGATAAAGTAGTTGATGATCTTTCAATTTTTGACTGACAAATCAGTCAATGGCAGTGAACCAAAATAAGTGTCGATGCTGCCCGATGTTGTGTGGATGCTGCTTGCAGCTCTCGGTGGTGAGACAGCACCGGCAGCCACTGTGGGCTTGCTGGGCACACAGCAAAGAACAAAATACTAACTGCACACCCATGCTTTCCCACCAAATGGGTTTTTTGAAAGGGCAAAACGAACCCAAAACTCATTGGAGCTTTAGCAAACTGCAATCTGCTCCCCTCCCTCTGCCGCAGCAGCTTGCAGAGCGGGAGAGCTGCGTGTGCTCTGTGTCTTCCAGTCTGGTGCTGTTTGAAACCTTAGGCTGTCCCAAAAGTTGCTCTTCCCCATTGTCATTTCTGCCCTGAAGTTGCAGGCATCCCTGCTCTGTGCCCACCTCAATGCCTCCATTCCTCTAACCACAGAATCATTATGGTTGGAAAAGACCTCCAAGATCATCGAGTCCATCTAACGTGGCTTCCTTTCCCTTCCAGCTGTCTTCTACACTGCTGCAATCCTTGGGCCTGCAGCGGGTTATCTGGTAGGAGGAATGTTTCTAAATATTTATACTGAAATTGGCAGAGAGTAAGTTGCTAAAACACCATCTTGTTCCTTTTCCTTTATGCTATACGTTTCCTTTGGGGTCCAAAGATCTGGAGGATTGCGAGGCAGGCGCGTGCCCGGCGTGCTTGGGGCGGGGGGAAGCTGCATGCTGTCACCGGAGGAAAATTGCTCACCCACCTGTCAGCCCAAATCCATCCTCACGCTGCCCTGCTTGCTCTAATTGGGCTGCGAGCAGCAGGTGCATTTTCTGAATGAGTTCCCTAATTTGGCACCACTGCCAACTGTGCTGCTCTTCCTCCCCGAGATCCAGATCCAACCTCTTCCCTCCCCAGAGGATTTCCAATTTATTTATTGCTTTCTCCTGTTATCTTGGAGTCCTCTTGGCGAGCAAATGGGTTCAAAACTCCCTTTGGGTCCCTAGGGGCTTCCTGTGGGTGAAGAAACAAGTGATGTTCCTGGCTTTCTCCCAAAGGATGGGTTGGGATTGAATGGTGATCGCAGCAACCCCCAAAGGCCAAATGAAATCTGAGGAGGTGCATGTGCAAAATAGAGATTAGGGGAGGATTAATGTGGTTTCCTGAGAAGTCACTCGTTAAACCAGGCAATTTCTGGCAAAATAGACTGCTGGGGTTTGCAGACAGTGCTAGTTGGAGTGTTGGTCTAGAGTTTGGGAACTTTAGGTTTCTACTAGGAAATTTTGTCTGAAAAAGGAGAGTTGAGCTCTCCTGCTTTTCAAACCGCCGCCTTTCCCCCTTGTGTCCCTTTATTGTGTTTCTTACAGGATCGACATCACCCCGGAAAACACGCACTGGGTGGGAGCCTGGTGGATCGGCTTCCTCGGCGCAGGAGCAGCCTCCCTGCTCATCTCCATCCCCATCCTGGGCTACCCTCACCGCCTCCCCGGTACGCGCGCCGCGGAGCGCAGGGTGCAAGGGACAAGGGACGGGTTTTGGGTCACACCTGCACTTTTGGCAGCTTCGGGTTGCTGTGCATGGGCAGCGTCAGCTGCCGGGTCCCTCTGGGCAGTCAGATGTGACGAGGCTGTAAATGAGACCTTGCAAATTAGCTCCTTCACGCTGGCGTGGGAAGAGGGATCTGTCACTAGAACTTGACTGCCCCGGGGCACAACGGCGCGTCCCTGCTTGCTTGAGATTTGCCTTCTGGCAGTGTCCCCGTGCCCTGGTGCTCGGGCTCACGTGCCATATGCGCTTGTGCAGGGAAGAAGCAGCAGCAGGAGTTGTTTTCCCTGTGGGCTCTGCCCTACACATGCATCTCCAGTCTCACATCTGCCACTGTGAAGCCTCCCCTTCCTTTGCCCTCCCTGCTTTGCCCCTGCTGGTCGCTGCTGCCCGTTTGCACAAGTCGCAACCGGCCTCGCTGCCTCCCTCTGTCCCTTGGGTGATACCTCCTGGCCATGCCCAGCGTTTGCACAAGGCACAGGGCAAACTAAGGGAAGCGCCGGGAATTGGCTCTGGTGTTTTAAAGTGTAATTCATGCGCTCATTCCTCACCTTTGGTTTTCCAACTACCCAATTCCCTGCTCTTGTCCCACTAATAAGAGGGACAGCAGAGGGAGGGGAGGCTTCTTGGAGACCAGGCTGGGGTGGAGCACAGAGATTCCTAGGGGCATTGGGTGCCACGGGCAGGATCCTGGGCACTGCTTGCTGGTTCCTGGAAAGGAGAGGGAATGCAGGCCTAGAAATGCCTGGAGAAAAGCATTGGTTGGAAAAAAACAGTCCCTCTCCGACAAGAAAAGCATTGGTTGGAAAAAAACAGTCCCTCTCCGACAAGAAACCGCTGCTGAGCAGTAGTGAGCTGAGTCAGCCTGGCTGGCAGAGAATGCTGCGCTGCCTTTTCCCCCTGTGAATTCAGCACATGAGCAGCATCCGCAGCCCGGATCTCACGTCCTCTCCATGCTTTTCTGTCTCTGGCTTTCAGGATCCCAGCGCTATATCGTGATGAGGGTGTCGGAGGCCCATCAGCTGAAGGACGGGAGCCACAAGAAAGCAGCAGATCCTGACTTCGGCAAAACGGTTAAAGACCTGCCTCGGTGAGAAAGCCCTCTTGCACGGGAGGTCAGGGGACTCTCCCCCATAATCGAGAGGAATGAGCCCAAATTCAGTTTGCTTTGTACAATACAGGTCAAAATATTTTGCCTACCTGCAAATAGAGCAACCCAAAGGAGTTTGCCTGATCCCATCAGCTGCCAGAGGCTTTCAGCTCGTTCTGGATAAATAGCAGTCACCTTCCAACTGCTCAAAACCAGGCAAACTGGCTTAAATGGAAATCCTGGCTGGAGATTGCAAGGGAGGCTGGGGAGAAAAAGGCAGGCTCGTCCAGCACTTCAGAAGCCCATTCCCCGTGTGAAGAAGAATCACTTACAGTCACATATAATATGCTAAGTTTTATAGAGAGTGGCTTGGTGCCAATCTTTAAGTGATATTAGGTGCAGACATTGTCACTTAATTCTCCCTCCTCGTTGTTTCTTCCTGTCTGCTCACGTCTGGCCTCACCTGGCACAGTTGAGTGTTGTCCAATGTCTCCTCTGTCTTCTCTGGGCTTTTTTTGCTTTCCTCTTACTTTTGTCTTGTCTTAGATCCTTATTTTGTCCTCTTAATAAGAAGATGAAAATGAGTCTTATCTTCATTTTAAATTCAGGAAGCAAGAGATGCTTGATTTTAGCTTTCAGTTCCCTTTCTGTTTTATTCTTGGCATCCTTTTTGCTTTTCCATCTTCCAAGCACCTTTTATGTGTTTTTTTTTTTTCTTCCTATCTCTCCTGCAAAGCCGTGAGCTTGATACAGCAGCAAGCTTGATCATAGGGCTGCTGCTTGCCCGTGCGGCGTTTGCAAGCGCTCATGCCAAGTGCATTTAGTAGGAATTGGCGTAAAGGAATCCTAGAGAATTGGGCAGGAACAAGCAAGGAACCAAACTAAAATGCAGCCTTTCAGTCAGAGAGCACTTGCCATGGATGTTTGAAGCTTTTTATGTTTTTATTTTGTTTATTTTATTTTATTTTTTTTTGCGGGGGAGTGAGTAGTATTTAAATGGAAGATGGGGAGATGCTTCTCTGCGTACAGCCTGGTGTTAACTGAATGTGCAAGATGAGGATACGGAGAGAGACTTTGCGTCACTTGGGTATCATTTCCTTTTGGAAGGCAAATAGGCCGTCACTAAGGGGACTTTGCCTTCCTGTACCTCTCCCAGGCCTGCTCTGAAGGGAAGAGCTTGCATCTCCGTGTGGCAGCTGCACAACACAAATATTCAACATTACCAAATCTGCTGCAGCTGCCAGCAATTATTTTTGAACTTGAGGTGTGACGTTTGCTTTTACTCTGGCAAAGGAGGATTGCAATAAGTGTTCAGAAGAGTATTTGTCAGCACTAGTCCGTCTGTGTTGTGCCAGTGCAACTTCTGCCATAGGAAGGAACAGTTTGAATTAGCGGGAGATTTTGTAGGCAGTTTACCAGGGGCTAAGGCAGTTTTATGAAGAATATTACATTGAACAGAGTTCAATATTGTTATTAAATGGCATTCTTGACTGGGTGCCATTTTCCAAGGTCACGACTTATTCTCTACACGGAAATTAAATTCAAAACCTGCATTCAAATAATGATAAGGCTATGACTAAAACCAACACAAACAGTGCAGCTAAGGCGCAGCGCTCTGTGCTCCTTGCCCTGCTCGCACAAAACGTGAAGCGGTTCTTGGTGAACACTCCTCAGCAAAGGTGCAGATCCAGCTCATCCTCTGGGAGCATCCCACAGCATCATCCGGAGCAGAGCACCTCAAGGTGGGCAGCTCCACTTACATCAAGCAAGCGGGTCAGATCAGCCCAGGTCTTAATGTGGTTTCTCTTATCTTAGGACCTCAGAAATGTTTCCTCTTTCTAAAGGGCAAACCCAGCAGGCTCCTGTGTTTCCTGGTTTTGATTAGTAAAAGGGAAGTGCCTTAAAGGCTTGCTGTTCCAGAAGCTTGCACTGAAGAAGAGATCACATCTGTGAGCACAGCACTTGTGTTCATGTGGCTCTGTGTGGAGGACAACGACAACAGACCTTGTCGCCTTTCTTTTAATAAGGGATCAGATGCTACATGTTTTCTAACATTACAGGCATAAAGAGTCTCACAGAAGATAAGCAGAACTACTGATGAAATAAAATACTGCTCGAAGCTGTCAGGACTCTCTAAGAGAGCAGTCACTATTGAAAGAATGGCTGTATTTACAGCGCTCCCAGATAGCAGCAGTTTACAGGAACACACTCCATACAGTTTAAGCTCTGCCCTGAAGAGACTTCAGTCCTAATTCTTGGGTTGTAAGAGTCTGATGAAATTGCATTTTCCTTTCTTCTGATTCTGCCTGCATACTTCTATTTATTGCATGCTGTACTTTGGCTGCTCACATGAAATATCCCTGGATGTCCTGGATGTGCACACACAGCTGTGTTGAGGCAGGGCAGGAGGTCTTTGTCCTACCTAGATTTATGAGGATCATTGCACGAGTGAAGAGCACCCTGTGAACCTGTGTGAGTAAAGACTTGCAGGAGCAAATGTTTCTAAGCAGCAGGATGCCCTCTTGGCAGTGCTAAGCTTCAAAAATCCCATGGACTGCAAGGATGGAGGAAGTCAAGACTTCAGAAGAATTGGGCAATTTCTGGTCATGGTTAAAATACCGCCCGATAGCAATGAAAAGATCTTTATTGCCTTTGTTAAGCTTTTATATGGAGCAGTTGTATGCACAGCTACACCTAGAGTCTGCAAACAATGACCTTAATCCTAGTGCTGAAAGGAATTCCTCCCGGTCTTCCTGCCTCCAGGTCTAGCCCATGGCCTTTGGCCACCGGGCTCAAGTCACACCTAGAGCCATGAAGCAGCTCCTCCCTTTTCTCTTGAACTATGGAAAGTTGGAAGCATTCATACAATTTATACATCAGCCAAGAGCTCCAGGAAGTATGTTTGCTAGCTAAGATTTTAGGCTTTTGCTTTCAAGTAAAGCATGGTTAAAAAGTTTGGTCCTAGAGAGCTGTTTTGTAAATTAAACTAATCCTAACAGCTAGGCAGTGGTTATCATAAAGCTCCTGGAAATCAAGGTGAAAAATGTGAGCTGTTTCTGTGTTTTAACTTCTTTATCCTTCTGCTGTATTGGAATTACCTGCTTCACATTAGTAACACAGCACAAATCCCTAAAATCCAGCTGTATCCCATGCTGAGCCTCAGCACGTCTCACACGCTTTTCCCGCAGCTGCTTTTATCCCATTTCCTCTAAAACAGGGAGGTGGTTCCCACTTCGCAGGCAGCGGGTGGCCCGTTGCATCCCCAGCGCTGCCTTCGCTGCACCGTGAGCTGCTCCAGCTTCCCAAGAGGGATGTTGGGCTGTGACGTTTGATGCTCTCGTGCAAAATTCAGGGCAAGTTACGTGGCAGCATGTCCAGCTAGTTCCAAAACAAGCCCTGCAAAACACTGAAAACCCTCTTAGTCCAATATCCGAGAGAGTGGAAGATAATTGAGACCATCCTGCCCGCCTGAGGGAGTTTCTGTGTCTCAAAATCGTTTCTGCATCATCTTTCTGCATATAAATGGCACATGGCAATTTTTCAGGAATATTTATGTCTCTCTATTAAATCCCAGTGGGTCAAAAAGAAAATGTATTTGTTCAACATACAGATGAATCTTAAAGTGAAACTCTGCCTAGGTTGTGGGAGAAAGATTTCTTTATATTTTCCAGTGGGATAGAAGGTGTCTTGAAGGTTCTTCTTCTATACAGAATGGTTTGCTTGGTCTTTCCCACAAGCTGCAAAAGAATGTGATTAATGTAGGTTGTTACTCTCAGGGAGGGCATGAATGGGTAACATGTACATAAATATGAAGTACAACTTTATTCCCTGGTCCTGAGGACAGACTTGAAATTGAAATGTGCCACAGAGATTCAGTTCCCAAATATTTGTCCTTGGCAGGTCAGTACTGCTGCTCCTGAAGAATCCCACCTTCATCTTCCTCTGCTTAGCGGGAGCCACCGAGGCCACGCTCATTGCAGGCATGTCCACGTTTGGACCCAAGTTCCTCGAGTCTCAGTTTAGCTTAAGTGCCTCTGAAGCTGCTACCTTTTTTGGTAAGGAAACCATTTCTTTGCAGCGCTTTGGCTGCAAAGACACTGCAGAACAGTGCAGAAACACTGCAGTTAACATATACAGAACCCTCTTGCTGGCATTTCTAAACATGTTTGTGGGTTTTTCTTTTTTCAGGTTATCTCGTCGTGCCGGCCGGAGGGGGAGGCACATTCCTTGGAGGATTTCTTGTGAATAAATTTAAACTCCGCTGCTCAGGAATCATCAAATTGTGTTTACTTTGCACGGTGTCAAGTCTGCTGGCTATTTTCATCTTTTTCATTCACTGCCCTAATATGCCTATGGCAGGAGTAACTCAGATGTATGAGGGAAGGTAATGATAATCCTTATCTTGTACTGGGTGGCCATGGTCAGAAAATAAGGATAACTGCAAATACGATGCTAATGTTATTCTTGTGTTATCATGTGGGTGATAGACGGTCATGTCCAGTGTACCTGCATGGTCAGTCTCATAGGCAGATGCTGAGAGTGAGATCATATCCCCAAAATACACACGTCCAAATTTATACAATTAATGGGCATTTATGGAGCAGGTTCCTTATGTAGTCCAGGAAATATCAGCACCACCAGACGCAATTCCTGTTTCATGTTTAAAATCAAAGGAAATGAAACCCCTCCCCAGCCTGGTGTTATGCCTGGCCCATCTCCTCTAGGGTGGCTTTTTGTTAGCATCTCCTATCGTCCACCTTTCTCCTGTGATTCTACCTTGTTTCTGCCTGCAAAAAGGTGCCTCCGGGCCTGACTGCTCCCATGTTCCCGCAGCGCTTTGCTGGGAGGCCGCCTCAACCTGTCGGCCGCCTGCAACGCCGAGTGCGGCTGCCTGCGCGAGACCTACAGCCCCGTGTGCGGCAGCGACGGCGTCATGTACTACTCGCCCTGCCACGCGGGCTGCAAAGCGTCCAGGAGGCTCAGGAGCGGCAAGAAGGTAGGTCTGCAAGCACCGGGCACTGGCGAGGCATCAACGTGTGCTCTGAGAGCTTGGCTGGTCTGCAAATGCCTGCAGGGAGTTGAGCATCACTTGAGCCAGCAGGTAAACCCGATGGCTAGGCCCAACTCGGGAGGATGGGAGACGGTCCCCAAGGTTGGGTACTTAGGAGGTGGCACTGGCACCCAAGGGCTGCCTGGAAAAGTCCATTTCTTATTTAACAACCTGTGTTGAAAGCAGAGGTGTGTCACAAATGCAGCCTGATTCTGGTTCTCCCCACTCCGGTAGCAAAATCAAGGGGCTTCCGCTCTCCCTGAATTTTGTGTTTGCAGCCTGGCCATGGCCATCACAGGGCTCTGCTGACAAACTGACCATGCACCTTTGTTCCCCAGGTCTACAGCGAGTGCAGCTGCGTGGCCGCGAGCCGCCGCTCCGGCCCTGGCGAGGCCGAGGCCGGGAAATGCACCTCCTCTTGCGCAAAGAGGCCCCTGCTCCTCTTCTTCATGTTTGTGGTGATCCTCTTCACCTTCCTCAGCAGTATTCCCGCACTGACAGCAACTCTGCGGTAAGTACCGTGGGAAACGCCCAAAATCCCGGTCTCCCTTTTATCCCGCTGCCTGTAGCTACGCAGAGCAGAGGGGCATGAATACAAACTACTGCAATCTAGCTGGGGGGGCAAAAAAACAGAATTTGCAGCACTGTCCTCTGTGCTCGCAGCAAAGCAATTAGCCGTGAGGCACCCAGGTATTCCCTGACTGAAGGTGAAGGATATGGCATTGCCCAGCACGAACCTCAGTCTCCAAGGGGGAAGGAGGCCCCATGCTGCGAAGGATGCTGTGGGAGCCGAGCGTGGTGGTGGTGCAGGGATGGAGGGAGGAGCTGGGCAGCCCAGCAGCATTTTCCAATGATCCCTTTTTTTTGCTCCCCAGGTGCGTCTCCGACAGGCAAAGGTCGTTTGCGCTGGGGATCCAGTGGATCGTCGTCCGAACTCTAGGTAGGGTACGAGGTGAATTGGCTCACGTAGATCCAGTTGGTTTGGTGGAGCACATCTGAGCCTGTTATTTCTGAAGAAAGATGTGGGGTTGGAAAGGAGAAGGATAAGGCATATGATGTTGAGAGGAGGATCTTCAAAACCCGCCTGGATGCGACTCTGTACCCCATGCTCTAGGTGTCCCTGCTCGAGCAGGGGGGTTGGACTAGATGATCTCTAGAGGTCCCTGCCAACCTCAGTCATTTTGTGATTCTGTGATTCTGTGATCTTTCCTCTCGCCTGTGCACTCTTAAAAAGGTAATTCTCTTTGCATGCCATTTGCAAGCTGAAGCAGGGAGCTGAACACAGCAAACAGAGCAGTCCTTAGGAGGAGCTGCCACCGCTCTGGTGCAACACAAAAGAAGGTGCATGAACAGCCGAACCCTTGGCAGGGCTGGTGCAGAGATGTCCCCTGAAGGCCCCTTCCCTCTCCTTGCAGGAGGCATTCCCGGCCCCATCGCCTTCGGCTCCATGATTGACAAATCGTGCCTGCTTTGGCAGGACCAGTGCGGCGAACAAGGATCCTGCTACGTTTACCAGAACTCAGCCATGAGCCGCTACACCCTCATTGCTGGACTCGTCTACAAGGTGATGCCACTTCTTTCCTTTGCCTCCAGGGCCCGCAGATGCCCACAGTGCTGCAGCAGGCCATGTATTGCTCTGAGAGAGGATTTTGCAGAGCTGCGTTAGGTGGTTCTGCCCACAACACAAATTATACTGTAATTGAGGAAATGTTCTTACTGAAGGCAAAGCTTCATTTGCTTCTTGCTATGTAATGGTGCTTCAGGCACTATCATTCTCTTTTATTCTCATTATTTCCTAGGCTTACATTTTTTGTTGCAGCACATGAAAAATCTCCTCTTTTCCTAACAATTACTGGAGTGACTTTTGCTCGAAGTGGAATTAAATGCATGACTGCAGTGTGTTAGTGAGAGTGAAAGAGGTCACTGTGGGCAAGCTGTAAATAACCATTCCCCGATCACTGCTAGAAAATACAAGAGCTTAGCTGCATGTTTCATAGTTATAGCTCGAAAGCATCATTTTAACTGCTCCCAAACAAGCACTTGGCTCATGGAGTAGGTCTTAGCAGATGCTGTGATAAAGAGACTTTCAAAATCCTTTGAGAAAATAGCTCTGGCAGTGTGGGTCCGCACCGCGCTGTGTATCCTTGTCCAGACAGGCTGTTAGATTTAACATGTCTCATTGCTGCGGAGCCCAGTAACTTCTGATTTTTGCCACTGGTCCCCAGTGTAACCCCCCTAAAATCCAGCCAGCAAATCTCAACCCAAAAGAGATCAGCTGGCAAATTCACACCTTCCACTCGGAATTGCCTGGCTCAAAATGCCAGGACCTGTTCTTGCAAACTGGGAGACCTCTGATTTCCATCCCTGGCGCTTGCTTGGCACGACGTGGGGCTCAGGATGTTCGAGGGCACCACGCGGTCCTGCTTTGCTGCGTGGCACCAGCTCAGGACTGGGCCCAGTTTGGAGAGTGGATTCAGGTGCTGGGCGCAAGACTAACAGCTATTTCTGTGGCTGCAGGTGCTGGGAACCACCTTTTTTGTAATCGCCTGTTTACTTTACAAGCCGCCGCCGGCAGAATCTGCTCCGGGAAGCTCGGGCACATCGGAAAACGGCAACGGTGACCTCCAGGAGAGCAAACCTCCGCTCCAGAGCGACGAGGACAAATAGCACCACGAATGTGCAATGACTGTCCCTCCCTCGGTCTCAAAATGCTATGACAAGACATCATTCAGTTCCTAGGATTTTTAAATTAATAGTAATATTATTGCTTTTCTTTTTAGCTCAAGAAGGATAATTTAATTAACCACTGGTGTACTTGCTATTTTCTTAACAGCAGAAGCACACTTAAATTCGTGCGCTGATGCCATATATGCAGTTATTTAATTTTATTTTGAAAAAGGGCTACTATAGCTTTATTCCATGTAACAAGCCAGGACGACGTCCTCCACCAGTGGAAGTAGCACCTGTAACTCCAATGGAGCGTGTGGCTTAAACCACAAGAGCATCCGGTCCCTAATATCTCCACCATAAAGCCAACTGTAGCAAAGCTTGACCTGGGGCTTCTTAAGCCTGAAAAGAGACCCACTGTCCTGCAATCTGCATTGCAAAGAGGGCAAGTGGCCTTTAAATTACTGTATGCAAAGCAAGTAGCCAGGATGGTGTCTTCCTTTTCCCCTGAAGCATCCAGCATGCCCGTGCACTTGGATTTGGTTGGGCTGTTTAAAGGCGATGCCTTTTGCAATGCACTGAGCTGAACCTGCACTTAGTTCCTGCTGTTGTTTGAGGGATGCTTTCCTGCAGGGCGCAGGGACACACGAGAAATGGATCTATGCAAAGCTGCTCTTCGTTTGCTCTGCAAAGACGTCGTTTTGGGGTATTGTGAAAAAAAACAATGGGTTTATTTTTCACTTCTCTAGACTGTCAGCTTAAGGGAGAGCTTGCCATAATGACAGACTGTCTGGTGGAAGGTGGGTGCTGGATTGCAACCCGCTGCTTGCAGATACAGAGGGCAGTGTCCTCTTAATGCTCTCTGAGTGCACGCTTGTGATATTGAACACATGTCATTTCTAAGGGGTAAAGAAGAGGATTATGGTGTCTGTCAGGGTTACAGACTCCCCTATACACCCCCAATCAGGCCAATTTATTGCTTAGTCTGCCAATTTTTGCACAGACCAAAAAATCCAGGTATGGCTCCAGGGGCAGCCTGGGGCCAGCCCCGGGACTCCCGCCCGGTGACACCCGCTCCCCGGGGCAGGACGTACAGTGTGGAGCTGCACAACTGGCACTGACGCTGTGCCAGGTGCTATTTAGATTTCTCCTGTAGATATTTTGTATATTTTGTATATTTATGTTTTCTTCAGCGGGCGCAGGATGGGAAGCTGGTTTCAGTTCGTTGCCAAAGGACCAAATCTGCTCCGAGCTCCGCATTGAGTCTCCCCGCTTGCCCATGGGGCACACGGTGCCGGGGGTATAAAAGAAACTGGGATCAAACTCCATCCCCTCAGTGGCTTTAAAAAATAAATAAGCAAACCCCTTCTATTTGCAGATCTCCTGCAGTCAAAGCCTGGGAGCTAGCTTCAGAAGTCCAGTGTTGTTTTGGGCACAAAAGTGCATGATTTGGAGCACCTGCACCTCCAAGCATTATCTCTCGAGAGGGGGATAGGCAGGTGGCCACAGGGGACACCGGGAGCTGCTTTTCCCCAGGAATTAACCCCAGCAGCACACAAATGCCAAAAGGTTTCCGTGACCTTCGCCGTGTCCTGTCACCACGTGCTTACCCGCCCCGTGCAGCTTACGGACACTTGGGCTGCAACCGGGGATCTTTAGAAGGGGAAAACGCATGAATGTATTTTGGAAACATGTTTTATGTATGATGTATTTATAAAGGATAAAAGCTGCGTTGTTTTTTTTAATATATAAAAATATATATAAAAATGGATATTGCGATGCAATTCTAGTGTTTATAAAACAAGCTTTATCTGAATGTGTGCTTCAAGAGCAAAAGAAAACCTTGCAGGTCCTGGTGGCTTACTGTGTCGGTGTGGGACTGAAAAGTCAGGGGCTTCAGTAAGTAGCAAAAACTTGTTCTTATGTAGGTGTACAGGTAATTTAAAAAGAAAACAACTGATTTGAAAGTATGTTTCCCACTCCTGTGTAAAATATTATATTGCTATAAATGGAATAGAAATATAACTGGTATTTCACAGGTACTTTGGGCATGTCTTTTGTCTGCTCTCCCTCAGTCTGTCTCCAGCAGCTGGAGACCTCCCCAGCCATGGACACTGCAGACCAAGTGGGATCTGGAGCCAAGGGGTTGTTAAGGAAGCAGGATCCAAGGAAAAGGGAGGTAACTTGGCACCCCCCCGTTTGCACACAGGGCTGCTTCTGCAGACCTGCCCCACGCAAATGAGGCCAAAGCCCTGGGCCACATATGATTTGCTTTAGGGCTGGTGCGTTCCCTTGGAAGGCACAAATAAACAATGTTCAGCATTGGAGGCAACCGACGGGCAGGCAAAACAAATAGGGGCAGGCAAGAGAGCCCAAGCAGGAAGAACAGACTGCTGTTGGAGCAGTCCAATTTATTGGGGTAAAAAAAGAAACAAGACAATCAGTGAGCTGTTCTCCTGAAGTTTGTGTACTAGCTTCTTGCAGATTTTAAAATGAGGGCGAAGGAAAGCTTGGAACAGTTGTTTCTGCAGCACTTGCTTCCCTTTTTCTCCCATCACGACTCCTCTAAGGCGTCGGGATGGGCTCCCTCCCTCCAGGTCCAGCCCAGCTCGTGCTGCCTCGGGGGATCCCATGTTTCATCCCTATGTTGCACCCCAGGGCTTCATTTTTTCCCAGGGACTGAAGCAGGCATAAATGTGCATAATTCCCTTTTTATACTTTGATTGCTTACACTTGGAGTGATTGCTTATTATATGTGGAGTGAGGGGGAAATAAACCTGAGGGGCACGCTCTGATTTCATCGAAATAGCTGGTGCTGAGTGCAGCCTTTCTCGGGACGCTCCGGACCCCATCCTGCCCGGTGCCGCGGATCCGGATTCCATTTGGACCCCCGAGGCCGTGGCCATGCCACTAGATGGCAATGGAGACAGCAATTCAGAAGGCTCCGAGCTGCTCGTTTGCTTAATCATCATCCATGTCTTGTCCGGACATCCCTGTGCACAGACTCTTCCAGGTGAAGTATGAGTGGGCTGCAGTTTACACCAGTGAACTTGCAAATATATTTTAGAAGACATGAATAAGATCCAAGATAAGCTTCTTGCACTTTAAAAAAAAAGGAAAGAAAACAGAGATATTTTCAGGGAAAGTGAACATCATTTGTAGACATAAAGTGATGCACCATGCGAGGGTCCAGAGAGTTGTATTATTTATATGAGGCTTTGACAAATTGGTATTCTAAACCCTCCCTTTCCACAGAGGATACAGCTAAGGTCACTCCACTTTTCTTCACTGATTACTACCCGGGACCAGAATATTGAAATGCCTCCCAGATGGCACCGTCCCCCTGCCCAGCTGCTCTGGGCTCTGCGGTCGCATGTGCCAAGCTGGATTCCCCTGGAGTTTAAACACTGCAGATGAACTGCTGCAGCTTTCCCATCCCAGCTCACGCATCCCGATGGGAAAGCAGAGATGGATCCCTGTGGATTGAGTGCATTCAGATATGATCCCAGGGGGCTGCGCAGTACCAAGAAAAGCAAATGCACCAGGATGGGTCCTGCAAACCCTGGCCAGACGCAGCCTCTTCTGCGTGGGGAACCAGAGCTCCTGTAACATTAACATTGCAGCAGTTCAAGGAAACACTAACACAGCAGTAACTATAGAAACTGTAGCTCTGCATGGCAGGCGTATGGACTGCCCTGGGTCTAGCAGAAAAATGTGGTTTCTTGGTGCCATCGGGTCTCAGCAGGGTGGCAGATTGACCTCCAAACTTGCTGAGTGCACACGGATATTTGGAGTTTTCTCTGCAAAAACAAGTGGAGGGACCAGGCTGGAGCTGCCGAGAAGGGTAGATAGGAGCTGTCATCGGTGATGAGTTGTGCATGCAATGCACTAAACGCAGCACTCGGAGGGTCCATGCAAATTGTCTGCATTTGTCATTGCAAACTGCTGCAAAACTTCCAACAAAAGTTTTGGCCACTGTTAACCTTGCACTTTTTTTTTACATCAATATGTACTGTATTCCTACTCAGAAAGCCGTAATGCCTGCGTGCATTTAACACATCTAATTAGACCGAAAAAACCCACCAAAACTCATTAGGGTATGGTGTATCTAATTGATTAGCATTCCCCTGGAATGCAGGTTTTTCTCATTAGCAAATGCCTCTGCACCAGCCGGTGCCAACACGTTGCCTACATGCAAGGTGCATCTTATGTGTGGCTTTAGAAAATGCTCCGTGCTTCGTTCAAAAATTGGTGATGAGGGGAAAGAGAGGCAATAGAAGGAATGTCCTCATCACAAAGCTTTGCAAGAGTCTTGGAATGTGGAAGGTTCCCACTTTCTTTTTGCATTGTTAGTACTAAAAGGCAACAATAATTATTTTGCTATTCCATACTGATTGCAAAGGTTTTGGTATTTTCTCCTATACTGTCTTAACAAATATAATTTTTTTTGAGAGATACAAAAAAATGACTTCCAAGAAACGTTAGCAAGCTGTTATATTTGTGGAGTTATTTTTTGCATCCATTGACTCCGAAGGGGAGTAGAGGGAGAGGCCCTATGGCTCGTACATTATGATCTGACTCACTGATAAGCTTCTCAGTCGAACCATTTCCCAGCCCGCTGCTGCTTTCTTTTTCCATTTATTTATTATTTTCCTTCCATCCTGCCCATTTCCTCTCCAACGCCTGCACCTTCCAACTCAATGCGGGACAGAAAACCAAGGGTTTATCCGGTTAAGTAGGGACCCCATTGCACCTTGCTCCAAGTTTCGCTCTTTATTCCCGGCTCCATCTTCCAAAACTGGGAAGCTCCCAGAGATGCGATGTCCTGCGGGGCTCCTGCCTCCTCCTGCAGCCCCTCTGGGGACATTGCGGGTACCCAAAGTGGATTTCACAGCATGAATGTCCACCTCGCCTTCTCTCTGGACCCAGGGTTTTGCGTTGCATATGGCAAGATGAATAACTGAGAGTGAAAGATCAAGTTAGGAATTAAAGATACTGGA